GATGCGACGGCCAGCGACGCACAGGATTGGTTGCCGTTCCTTCGCTAAACGCAGGAACTGCTCCCCGCGTCGTAGTAAATCCTACCCCGTATCCCGCGCGTAGGGACGCCTCAGGGAATGCGCATCTTCCGCTCGTCGGTGGTTGGCTCCGGACGTCGCTCAAACGGGTGACAGGTGTCAAGTTTGCGATGACGTAGCGGCGTCAAAGTGGGCAGAGCCGCCACGTGAGTGTTGCTAGGATACGCTCCTCCTTTCCATTACGTCACTTCCATGTACCTTTTCTGAAATGTCCAACCTAGCGATCCTGCCCAAAGCTTGTTCCCCTTCGTGCAATAGAAAGAGAGGTTAAAAGCACGAGCGCATCACACCGAACGATCTTGCAAGAACGTTGGCTTGCACTGCGCAAGCGCGCCTGCTCGGCAGGGACGTTGAAAGCCCGGAGCACGTTCTTGTAGCTCCTGCACCCGCACTAGCTCGCACTCATAGTGAAACAGAGAGTAGGGTGTGTCGAGTAATACCACAGTTAATCTAGTGACGCGACTTCCGCTATGTGCTTCGTGGGTCGGACGTGGTCATACGTCACTTTGTCGTCACGGTCCGAACTCGAAGAGTGACAGTTACGGCAAACGGTTGCTTTCGTGTTTCGCGAACGTTCCCATGGGAACCGCGTGGAATTATCACGCGGGCTGTGGCCAATAGGAGCGCGCGGTTCGTAGGGGGGAGGAGTTTTCGAGAAACACGAACGTGACCGTTTGTGACCAGAATAGCACCCCAGGGGACCTATGTTGGACAAATGTTTCGTTTCTCCTAAAAGAAACGGAAGTGACGACATCGCGTCTGATTGGTTGAGGCTCGAATGACGAAAGTTCCCTACGAAAATGTGGGCGGAGACGGCGAACCGCCCCCACCGGAAGTGACAACACTTTGACGTATCGTTTCCTCGGTGTTTCGTCTGAAAAGGGAACGAGTCTGTCGATGATCTCTTCGCGGTAGCGAAATTATAAACACGGCGTCTCGGAGGCAGAGCGACAGTCTTTCTATTGTTCAACTTTTTTTTTCCCTCCGGAAAGGCTCCACCGGCAGCACCGCGACACCGCGATGCCTTTGAACTACCGGAGGAAGCTTTTCAGAGGCAGTACCGTCTCACCAAGAATGTGGTCCGTTGATTGTGCGACGAACTGCGCGAGGAGCCAGAGTTGAGGCTGCGAGGTTCGTGGACGGTGATGTCTGTGGGACAGCAAGTGTTGTGCGCACTTCGCTTTTAGCGAGGACGACGACGAAGCGCTCGTTCTAACGGACGTGTTTTTCCTAGCTCCGCCGACATATATCTATAACTCCGAGTTTAAAAGGCACTCGCGCCCCGGAAAAGGGCCCCATGGATCAAGGGCAACCCTCCGCCACCCTCCGACCGTCGATTTTGGATCCAGGAGGGACCAGTTTGGTGAATATGGAACCCGATACTATGGACACCTCGCTAAACCTAACGTCTGGAATGCGAGACACGGAAACTCAGGCCGCCGCAACAGGGACAACCGCGACCACGGCGGGCCCATCGACGGAAGGCCTTCAAATCGTACTGGACCTGAACACCCTCGGCAAACTGAACGAATTTGGAGTTGCGAGGGAAGATATCGGAAGGCTCTTTGTAAGCTTCTTGACCTACCTCGCTACCGCACAGCAAGGAAAAGGCGCGCAACCAGCCGCAGCAGAAAAGGTGAGCTCAAGCCTTGGACAAGAATATCCCACGATAGCTCAAGCAGCACAATTGACAAAGACCCCGCTAAAGAGCCAGAATGCTAAACCTAACGGGACAGAAGCCACCCCTTTGGCGGAAAATATCGAGGACAACTCCTGGACACTAGTCCAGAACAGGCGCCGCCGTAAACGCTCGCTGACATCAATCGAAGAACCCGAGAAGAAAGCCGCTGCTATGTCCATCGATAAGAGGCCAGGCAGTAAAACTACCAGGGCCATTGTGCTGAAGCCGGTATGTAAGGAGGCAGTAAATGGCTTCAGAGCCAGGGACATCAGGCAGGCCGCGGAAACGGCAGGAATCGAAAGCCAAGAGGATTTCAAAATCCAGTATCAGACTAAGACCAACACGATTACACTGACTACGCAAGAAGAAGGCACGGCAGAAAAGCTGCTACGGCTTAAGGCAATAGAGAAGAACGGCAAGCAGTACACAGTTTGCCCCTACAGAGCAATGGAGAAGAACCAGATCCGCGGTGTCATATGCCCGCCGGGAGACAACAGCGAAGAGACACCAGAGACGCTGCTCGCAGACATGAAATGCGACAAGGCAAGGATTATCGCTGCCCGACTTATGGGTAAAGGCACAAGTGCGGTGTTAGTTACCTTCGAAGGTAACAAACTGCCCAAGAGGGTCGTCTTCTGCCAAGCAATCTTGAGCGTGAAAGAATACCGCCCGCGCCCGATCGTGTGCTTTAGCTGCCACGAGCTCGGGCATAAGGCGGATGTCTGCCCTCGCAAGGAACGAAGGTGCGGTCAGTGCGGGAACGTGCACGACGAAGGAATGGACGAGTGCAACCGAGAACCAAAATGTCGTAACTGCGACGGCCCACATCCGGCCACCAGTAACGACTGTCCAAAAAGAAGAATTCCCGACAAAAAGATGACAGCCAAACCTCCGGCGCAAAATAAAGAGAGTTACGCTGCAGCTGCCAAGTCCATCGCGGAGCGACCCAAGGCATCGGGGAAAAACGATGAAAACGAGCTTCCCACATGGATGCCGGGATGGGCGAAATCTACCCAACGACAACAGCCAAGCCAGCAGGCGTCAGACTTCGACGCCGAGAAAGAGATGAATAAACTCAAGAACGACGTACACATCGGCTTCAAGATGATCTTCGAGGCCATCGGAGAGATCAAGAAGGAGCTGGCGTTGCTGCGACATGGGAAGTAACTCCCATAGCAGTACAGGACAGGCCACCACGGAACAGACCCGCATTATCCAATGGAATTGCTGCACATTTTCGACCAAAAGTGCAGAGCTGAGGTTGAGATTCGAGAGACAGCCGCCGCCGGATGTACTCCTTCTTCAAGAAACACGAACCCCGAACCTAACATTCCCCTGCTATAGTTTCTACACGAACCCGACCATAGTAACTACCCCAAGGCCGAGCGAAAGGAACCCAGAGACGAAGAAAGGCTGGGCAGCAGTAGCAGTCCTGCGGCACATACCACATGCTCAGCTCGATACGGCGTCACTTTGCAATGGCAACAGAGAAGTGGTAGCCGTAAGGCTCAGTCACAAACGGAAGAGGATGACTTTAGCCTCCGTCTATATAAGACCAGGAACGGCAACGGAAGATGACAAGGATGCAACGGCATGGATAGGCGAACTTGTCGGTCTAGCCGAAGGGGATCCGATTGTCATAGCCGGGGACTTCAACGCTCGACACAAAGATTGGGGGTACTCCAACAGCACGAGAAAAGGCCGGCAAATTAAACACGCAATGAAAACTGCGGGCCTTACACTTCGCAACGAGCCGGGAACCAAGACAAGGATTGGAATGCACGGTAGGCAAAAGGACTCCACCCCGGACCTCTCCTGGGCCACTGCAAGCCTAGTGCTCGACTGGTCAACGTGGAGAGACAACCTTGACAGTGACCACTTTCCGGTAGAAATGAAGATTCATCACGGACAACGCAACAGTGGCAAAGAACAAAGACCAGTAGTCAAATGGGATCGTTTTAGGGAACTGCTTGAGACAGAGGACAGCCGAGACATCGAGGAGTGCATTCGGACGGCTCTGAGCGAAGCGAAGACGAAAGTTCTAGTAAAGCCTGGAGCCCCAACACCGGACAATCACCTACTAAACCTCTGGGCCAGCCGTCTACAAGCACTGCAGCGGTACCGAAAGAACAGGACGCTGCATCTAAAAATCAAGCTCAAACGAGCAGCAGCGAAAGCGAGGCAGTACTGTAAACAGCTCGGTCGCGAGAGGTGGAGGACCCATTGCGGGTCCTTTAACGCACGAAACGGGTTGGGAAGAGCTTGGAGAACTTACAAAGGACTGAACGGAGCAAAGCGCAAGACAAGAAACGCTGCGCAGAACCTGGCCCTCAAGCTCAATATCAGCGAGGCAGAGATGGCGATCAGGGCTGGAGAATTGTTCTTTCCCCAAGAAGAAGATAGCGCAAACCAGAAACCGGTTGCAATGAACACCCGCACGCCAGAAGAGGAAGGAATGGAAGACCGACTAAATATGGGAGAACTAATCGAGGCAATCGACACGGCGAAGACCGGTAGTGCTCCTGGCCCGGACGGGGTAACGTACCAAGCTCTCAGAAACCTACCGGAAGAATCGAAGCAGAAACTTCTCGACAAATACAACACAGTATGGGAAGAGGGTATGCTACCGAGAGCCTGGAAACTCTCGTGGGTCACGCCAATACCCAAGCCCGGCAAACTGCTTGATTGCATTGAAAATATGAGACCTGTATCTCTAACATCTAATATCTGTAAGACGATGGAGAAAATTGTGCTCAGAAGGAGACAATGGTATTTGGAAAAACACGAACGCCTGGATCCCCGGCAAACGGGCTTTCGCGAAGCGATGGGGACACAAGATAGCCTCAGGTTGCTCTATGAGGAGGTGCTGGCTGAAAAAGACAAACAAGACCCACGGCTCGTGGTCGCCCTGGACATACGCAAGGCGTTTGATTCAGTGCCGCACTGGGCAGTCGTCCGGGAGGCAAAAGCATGCGGCATCCGTGGAAGAACTTTGAACTTTATACGAGACTTTCTGCGCGACAGGAGGTTCCAGGTGAAGATCGGAGAGACCATGGGCCCAGAAACGCCGAGTAAAAGAGGAGTGCCCCAGGGGGCAGTTCTATCGCCGACCCTTTTCAATATGGTAATAGCGGGTCTCCCAGCTCGGCTTCGAGTCATCGAAGGGCTGGGATTCACCATCTATGCGGATGATGTGACGCTCTGCACCCGAGGGGGATCCCTGGGGGAACAAGAGAGCACGATGCAACGGGGCATAGATGAAGTAGCCACCTACCTGGCAGAGGTGGGAATGGAAGCGTCATCAGAGAAAACGCAATATATGATGGTCGCTCGCCCTAGGGACCACAGAAAAGGAATAGCAGGCTCAGTACGGCTAGAACTCAATGGACAAGAAGTCGGCAAAACGCCACATATCAGAATCCTTGGAGTCACCTTCGAGCAGACGGCAAGAAGCACAAGATGGTTCCCGGAGATGGAAAAGGCGTGGGCTCAGGGTCTCAAGCTCATAAAGAAAACAACAAGCAAGTCCTGGGGAGCAGATGAAAAGGCTCTGCGTATCCTCACAGAGGCCCTTCTCACGTCACGAGCACTGTACAGTTGCAACTGGCTGAATCTCAACCAGGCGCAGTGGAAGAAACTCGAGAGACTTAACAACCAATCCAGGCGAGTAGTCACGGGCCTTCCCAAATACACGCCACTCGAAATGCTAGAAAGGGAAGCACAAATGAACAACATAAAAGACAGGGCCGAAACCCAAGCAATCGCTCAGTTTCAAAGGCTAGAGCGCACTAAACATGGACGTAGATTCCTGCAAGACCTGGGATACGAGACAAGCAACAAGCCGCCATTGGAAGAGGCGCTACCTCCGTGGCAGGACGAGATGATAACGGATCATCGGCCTCTACCTCAAGTTCTCAACCAAGGGAAGAGGGCTAGAGCCGCTAAGATGCACGCGGCTTGGTGCGAAACACATGCGCCAAACGAAGAAGTACGGTACACCGACGCCGCAAAGAACGGTGACAAAGTGACATCTGCATGGCACGACGCAAGGAGAGGCAGGACACAAACCGAATCGCTACCGTCGGGCACGACGGTGAGGGAGGCCGAATTGAGGGCGATATTGGCGGCGGCCCAGGACATCACAGGAAAGAGCGCGACGGCACCTCACGCCAGAATTTTTACAGACTCGCAAGCAGCGATTAACGCTACACGCAGCAGCAGACCAAAGGGCCGAACAATAAAAAAGATTAAGAAAGTGTCGACGGAGCTTCGCATACGTGGCACCGACCTGCACATCACATGGCTTCCCGGGCACAGCAAAATCCCCGGGAATGAGAGGGCACACAGGGCCGCAGCGGAAGAAATATTTTACGGCTCCGCGACTGGCCCGACCTCTCATTCTGAAACGAATAACACGGTAGACCCTGAGGAACAGGCTGAACTTGCCAGGCAGGCGAGGAAGGCCTACCTCAGAGGGTTGCTGCCGTTACAAGAAGACAACATACCAACGAGCTATACCAGATGGGAAGCTGTCCGAGTCCGACGGATCAGGACCGGAACAGCATTCACACCGGCCAAACAAGCGAGCTTCGGGCTCGTCGACATCGAGGGCTCCAGATGCAAGGCCTGCGCCGGGAACAATACAGCCACACTACGCCACCTCCTCTGGGACTGTGCAGGCCTGGAACGGCTGAGGAAGAAAGCGATCCAATCCCTTCGGGAAGAGGACAGACCGGCGACGCTCGAGGAGTGGTCCCGACCCCAGGGAACACCGCAGCACAGAAAAGCAATCCTCGATTCCCTGATGAGCACATCAGGGAGACGGGGACCCATCATCACATTTAATTTTTTTTTTCACATCATTCATTCCCTTTCTTCCCTAAAACCCCATGCCCTCCCTTCCTGTCTCAGGCCACCCCACCAAGACAGCCGAACCACTCATCTCATCAATAAACATAATTCAACAACAACAACAACGCTTTTAGCCACGGGGAGCAAACTGTGCGGGAAGCTTTCAGAGCATGGTGGCGACCGACGAGCACATAGCGAGGTATCAGGCTACAGTCGGCATTGTTGTGCGGGCTGTGTCCCTCGCTATTGTGCAGCCTCTGGGGAACCGGCGCGGATGGATCGACTTTTCCCAGACAACCGGCAAGAGGCAAGACGTCGAGAGGGGCTTCCAACGGCTCGGCAGGATACCCGGCGTCATCGGTTGCGTCGACGGGACGATGATCGCCATCGTCGGTCCGTCACAGAACGACCCCACCGTCACGAAGGCGGCGTATTGGTGCCGCAAACAATTCTACGCTCTGAACGCGATGGAGGTACGTATGATCACATATATACTACGTCTCACCTTAGCATGAACTAAGGAGACTGTAAGCGCGAACGGCTTGACTGGAGCACTCGCTGCACGAGCGCTCGTGCAGCCGCCGGGGCTTTATCCAAAGCAGCTAGCTCGCGCTTTTAGTTATAGGTCAATGCCCGTTCTGCATGGGTTTGAAAAAGAGCGTAACGCTAATACGGTGTGGATATGCCATTTTAGAGAGTTATGAATTGTTAGTACTCGTTCATCCTCCGCACAAGCGTTTGTTCGACGAAGGAAGGGAGGGTTTGTTAGCTGAAAAGCTTTCGATCTCTGTTTGTTTTCATGTCGTGTTAGGCTTTTAATCATTAGTCCCTGTCCTGCATGATAAAGTTTAAACTCCCCTCTGAAGAAAAAAACAAATTTGCCTAAACTATTACGTGGATCAAAGGTAGTGGCTATTTATCATATTATTTTAATCTTTGTAACACAGGCAGCGCTCTGTCTGTGTCCTCCTTCATCCTATATTCCGTCGTTTGTTTTTGTTTTTTTTTGCGCTGTCTTAATATTTTAAGTTTGTAAACCACATAATTTAGGGTGGTGTGTTGTTCAACATGTAAATAGTGTTTGACAGGGCTCCATGACAGTGAGTGCAATCAATTGTTTGTGGATTCAGTTGAATTAATGTCTACATATGTTTCACTATTGCAGGTGTGTAACGCCGACTGCCGGGTGATAAGCATCGACCCACGGTATCCTGGGTCGGTGCACAACTCCTTCGCGTGGCGCTACTCGTGGCTCCGGAGCAACTTCGAGCAAGGCCGGCTGACAGACGATGGCAGGCTCCTGCTCGGTAAGCACACTCCATTTGTTGGTTCTGTACATGATGGCTCTGCACCACTTATAAGCTACAATATCACACTTATTGTTCCGAACATGGATAACTGGCATGCGCTCTGGCCATACCTGTGACACGTTTCCTTGGAAACACTCCGGCGCAGCTGTCAACTACAGGGGGGAAAGGTTGCAAACAGCAGTTTTACCTGCGTAGTTGTGAGCAATTTTAAAGGGATACTACAACGAAATTTCGGTGCTTATTTTTTGCTCTATACGTGTTCAAAAGAGCAGTATCACATCGAACTCATCAATATCTTGTTAAAAAAGGCACTAAAAAGCATTTAAATAAATTAGGCAATTAGAAAAGAGCATTTTTTAGATGTCGCTAAAGCTGTAATGCCAGTCTAGGAACCTTGACAGGTAGGGATGATAACTCTCTTACCTAGAACTATACATGCTTTGAACCTGATGCCATCCCGACAGCTCTACGGCCAGCAGAAGAGAAAAGGGGAGGGAGGAATTCCACACTCGACGGGACTCTTTTTTGTGTGTCCCAAGATGATAGAAGATTAACCCGTCACTCAAAATTCACACAAAAGCAGCTTTGGGGTTAGTTGCGGTGGCCCGATCGCTGGCGTGCTTCGACCGCTTTGGTTGCTGGAACAGCTAGGGCATCCTGACGACGTCTGCCTCGCCGCAGCTATGCTCATCCCGAGATAAACTACATCACAATTGCACTGGATGTGACGTGCTCTCAGCTGGCTGCTCTCCGAGCGCTTGCCAGTGTGGGCTGTTTATAACGAAAAATACAGCCATCAAGCTCAAAATACAAATGTGCAATTGTCATTTACGGGTATTGTGGATCATATTCAGCCTATTTCTGAACACGACGGGTATATTTCAACTGTCGTTGAAGTATTCTTTAAAAAAACAAAAAACAGCATTAATATCATACATTTCCTTCTCCGACTCTGCAGGTGACAGCGGCTATGCCTTGGAACCTTGGCTCATCACCCCTGTCCCTGGATTCCACGCGACCTCCACCGCTTGCGGCCGGTTTAATAAGGCACATTCTTCGATAAGGTTCATTGTGGAGCGCTGCATTGGGCTGTTGAAAAGCAGATTCCAGTGTCTGCAAAGACACCGGACTCTGTATTAGCATCCAATAACAGCCACCGTCATTATATCGTCTTGTGCAGTGCTCCACAATATGTGCCTTTCATCGAGAGAGGCAGAACCGGACCCTCACGAGCCAGGGTTGGAGTCTGGGCCGAGCTCGGAGGGGTCAGTGGCGGATGACGAGAGGCTAGCTCCTGCCCACCCTCGGGTCAGCCTCTCGGACAGGGGGAGGGCTCTGAGGCAGCGCCTTGTTGCCCAGTTCCTAACCCGCCACAGCCGTGCCTCCCCGGACCCCCACGCAAGCCACGATGGCAGTCGCGCCCACCAGGGACACAACCATTGCCAAGGAGTCCGTCGCCACAATGGAGGTCCCGCCCATCAGGGACACCATCGGCGACAGGGAGCCCTCATCGTCCTCGCCACGGTGGCACTCCCGCACACCAGGGACGCCACCGGCGACAGCGCACCCCTCGTCGTCCTCACCTCGACTGACGCCCTCGCCACCAGAGAAGCCCCCCGTGGCAGTATGTGCCTCACGTGTTGCTCCACAGTCAAGGCCGTCCATAAGCTCCACAGTGTTAACTCCAATGCCTTGCGCAGTTCATCGCACAACTACCGTGTTACCTTTACGGACATGTAGTACCGCCTCCGAAATGCTATTCGGTGCATCACGGTGATGTTGATAGAGCTTTTTTTTTAATTTGCAAGCAGGGTGCATAAAATGCCTGGAACAATAACAGAATGTATTGTGGGTTATGTAGCTAGCCAACAGGGCATCTAGCTGGCTCGCCCTTGCAGGAAACGGATAACTCAATGAGGCTACTGGTGAGACCCGTTTTGCTTCTTTTACTGCCATATATTGTTCGTATCGGGTTTGGACATCGATTCATTTTCTCTACACTTCCATTGCCCTGTTCCATTTTACAATCTATTATGGTTACCACAGGGCCAGGTGTATTACTCGATAATCGCATATTGGATTTGTGTCAGTTTGAATGTATAAAGAAGACAACAAACAGTGTCTTTGAAAGTGCTTTCTTTTTTTTACAACAATGCCGTAACATGAAAAATAAACATGTTTAAAAGCACAGGTTGCAATACTTTCTTTAAAATTGAGCATGGACTATTAAACACCATATAAATTCTTTGTCATTATCCAGGATATATCACAGACATTATTTCACACTACACTTCACTTAATTCAGCACACTGCCATTTCGTGTGTGTTTAGTCACAAATGGAAGCATGAGAGATTCCATAGTAGAGGAATGTTGAGATCAACAATGATATAAGAAAACAAACAAACGAAAAACACAGGGACACAGACGAAGGAAACAGGACAAAATGCACTGGTGAAAATTTAACTTCAGTTGAGAGTGCACCTTGTCCTGTTTCCCTTCGGCGCTTTTTCTGTTTGCAATGAACGAACTGGCCCAAATCTCCACTTTATTTCGATAAAACAAAAACGGCAAACCCGGAGGCCAGTTTCAGGCGGGTGGCAAGTTGTGGCTAGAGTGTAGACCTCTTGGTTTTAAATAAAGAAAACCCGGGAGCGCCCAGGGCCGAGTCCTCGCCCACCAGCGCCAAAATACGCGAGTATGATGACGCCAGCGAGCGCACCCGGGCGCCTCCGCCCCCTGTTTGCCTGCGGGTAAAGGAAGTAATTCAATAGCTTGGTCCACACTATGAGTAAACTACGCAAATTACCTCGCCTGTTTCGCCAGCTTCGCAGCCCGCGCCCGCGCCTTCGACACCCGCATGGCCCAGTGGCGTTTCCAACCTTCCGGCTCCTTCCTTGGAGGCTTCCTTGGGGGCCCGAGGAAGTTGAGCCGGGAGATTAGCTCGTTCCAGAGACGAACTTGGTCGTCTCTGGACAGCGCCGGGCTCAGCTTAGTTGCGCCGCGTACCAGAGAGGCCACATCCTCCTGTTTCTTGAGCAGTCATTAGCGCCAGTAATTGGAACTAGGCGCTCATCCGCGTCCCGCATGTTGTTCTAGCCTTTTATGCGAGTTTACTCTATCTAATATTTTTTTGTAACCGCTACAAAATCA